GACAAGTTACCAAGAACAGAAAGCTTCAGAGAGAGAAAGAGAGAGAGAGGGAAGAGAGAATGAGAACACAGGAGATCTGTAGAGGATCCCTTCAGTTTTTCAGCTGAGTATTGATAAGCAAGCATGTACGTGAGTAAAATATTCAAGAAAATGAAAAAAAAAATCTGAAAGGATTAGAGAGAAGAGAGAATGTTCCCACCAGCAAGACTGTAAAAACTCGATTTCATAGTTCATGGCACATTGGCAGATGTGTTCAAGAAAGTCTTTTTACAGTAGAAGAGAATAATTAACATTAAACTGAACATGTTCCAGATCCACCTAAAAATCACAAATGCAAGATGGAAAAGGAACAGACTATTTCAGGTAACTTAGCTGCATCCCAGAACAAAGTTCAAGAAGAGTCAAAGGAATACAAACAACAACAAAAAATAATAGCCAACACCCAACAAGGTAAAACCGACAGTGCCTAGTACCCAACCTAAGTGTCCAGACATGCAAAGAGCAGGAAATCACATAAAGAGTAAGAATTATCAGTCAAAACCAAGCTGGAACTAATAGAGACATTAGAATTAGCAAGAGATGACACCAGAATAGTTATTATAATTGTATTCTACATGTTCAAAGAATTTGGAGCATGGAAGCTATTTTTTAAAGTCCCAACTTGTCATGGAAAGTATAATGTCTGAGATGAAAAATATACAGAGAATAGTTTCCGAGATGGAAAAAAAATATATAGCAGGTCTAATATTGAAGAAGGCATCAAAACAGAAGGCATACAAAATAAAGCCCAGGAAGAAAACAAAATTTGATTTGAAGAAAAAACATGAGTGAGCTACATGATACCTGTACACATATTAATATATAAGTAGTAAGAGTCATGATGGAGAAAAGAGAGAATGAATCAATAAACACTTGAAGAAATAAGGGCCAACTATTCACCAAACTCCATAAAAAACTATAAACTCATAAATCCAAAAAGCTCAGACCAACCCAAACACACACAAGAGAAAAATAAACCAAGAAATATCCTAACTAAATTTACTTAATCTTTTATCACATAACTTGTAAAAGAAGAAAAAAAATGGTAGCACTGGGGTTTGAACTAAGGGCCTCACACTTGCAGCAAAATTGTCTTTAAAAAATACACGTGAAATTTGAGCACAAAAAAAAAAAGGCTGAAAGTATTGTTCCTAGTAGAATTCCACTACAAGAAAAATTTAAGGAAGTCCTTCAGACAGATACATATGACACCAAATAGAAATACAGATGTACAAAGAAACTTCTTCCAAATCTAGTAATTACAAATGAATACAAATTCCTCTTATTGAAACCTCTTTAAAGATAAACTTTTAAACATAGGTAACAATGTATTGTAAGATTTATAAAACAGGTAGAAGTAAAATATGACACCAATAACATGGAATCTGAAGAGGTGAAATTGGAAGTACACTATTGTAAATTTCTGAAACACTGAAATGGTGGAATATCAATTGAAGATATATAACTGTAATAAAGGAGTATATTACAAACCCTGAAGCTATTGATAAAATAACAGAGTTATGGCTATTAAGCAAACAAAAGAGAAAAAGAGGAAATCATAAAAAATATTTGAAAAATCCAACTGAAGGCTGAAAAAGAAAAATGAAAGCAAAGACCATATGGGACAAGTAGGAAATAAAAAGCAAGATAATGTATCAAACTAAACCATGTCAATAAGCACATAAAACACACTTTGTCAGAACATTCCATTTAAAGACAGACATTGCAGATTGGATAAAAAAACAAGACCCAACTATATATGCCTTTAAGAAAGATACTTAACTATAAAGAAACAAATAAGACTTACTAAAAGAACAAAAAACACGTGCCACATTAATACCACCCAAAAGAAAGTTGGAGAAACTATAATAAGATTACGGAAAGTAGATTTCAAAGCAAAGAGTATTACCAGGCATAAAGAAGGTTACATCATAAGATAAGGGAGGTCATAAAAGGGCATAAAAATCCTAATGCCCATGTACCTAAAAACACAGCTTAAAAATACATGAAATAAAAACTGATAGAACTGCAAGAAAACACAGACAAGTCCCAGGACTGTCTTATATCTATTTCAATGCTCCTCACTTAATAATTAATAAAATAAGTAGGCAGAAAGTGAACAATGATAGACTTCATAGATTGAACAACTCTCTTAATCAGCTTGGCTTAGTGGACATTTAAGTAGCAGAATAGGGTCTGGATGCATGGCTCAAGCAGTAGAGTGCCTCTCTCAAAAGCATGAAGCTCTGAGTTCAAATCCAAGTACCAACAAAAGGAAAAAAAATAAGAGAATATATGTCCTTCTCAAAGTGCACCAAAAAATTTAACAGAATGAACCATATTCTGGGCCATAAAATTAGTATCAGTTAATTTCAAAAGATTCAAGGCATATGAACTATATTCTGGGACCAAAAAAGAATTAAATTAGGGGTTGGAGGTGTGGCTCAAAGGATGGAGCACTTACCTAGCAAGTGTGAAACCCTAAGTTCAAATTCCAATGCTGCTCCTCCCAAAAATTAGAAATTAACAGAAAGATCTGTATGAGAATTTGAGAGATGCCAATAAAGCAGCGCTTGGAAGAAATTTACACCATGTGATCTGCTATTAGAAAAGAAAGTCTCAAAACAATGACCTCATCTTAAGAAACCAGAAAATTAACCACAAAGCAGAAAAAAGAAATAATAAGGATCAATGCAGAAACTGACAGCAGAGAAAATCAATGCAACCACGAGCTAGTTTTTTGAGGAGATCAATAAAATTAACAAATATCTAGCCAGACTGAATGGGATAAAAAGAGAAAAGACACAAATTACTAATAACAGAAATGACTTGCATCACTACCAACTTGACAGATATTTAAATAGTAATTATGGAATTTCCACAAACAATTTTATAGCTATCAGTTCAACAACTTATGACAAACTAGAGAAGTTTTTGACAGACTTAGTAATTATGAAAACTCATTCAAGAATAAAAAATAACCCTGAATCTATTAAGGAAGTTGAAACTGTACCTTCCCCAAAAATAAACCTACATGCTCAGATGGCTTTACTAGTAAAATCTAAAAACATTTAAAATGAAATAATGCTGGGGCCCTGGGTGTAGTAGCACATGTCTGTAATCCCAGCTTCCTGGGAGGTAGACATGGAGGATGACAGATCTAACCTAGTCCAGGCAAAAAAAAAAAAAAAAAATAGAAACTGGTCATGTGATACATGCCTGTAATCTCAGGTACATGGGAGGCAGAGGTAGGAGAATCATGGTCTGAGGCCAATCCCAGGCAAAAGTTAGACCTCCTATGAAAAAATAAAAGGGCAGCAAAAAGGGTATGGTATGGTTCAAGTAGTAGAGTGCTTGCCTATCAAATGCAAGGTTTTGAGTTCAAAACCTCAGTCCACCAAAAGAAATGAAATAGAAAAAAAGATAAGCAGTTCTACACAAACTCTCCCAAAACATCGAAGAGGAGGAAATTCTTCTCAACTCAATCCATTAGGTTAGATTGCCCTAATTGCAAATCCAAAGAAAGACAATGTAAGAAGAGAAAACTACAGAATCCTATGCTTCGTGAGCTTAGAAGCAAAAGTTATAAAGAAAATTTTTACCAAATCAAAACTATTACCATAAAAAATAGATATTGTACCATGGCTAAATACAGAGTTAAGTTAACTTTCAAAAATCAGTGTACTTCACCACATTAGCAAAGCAAAACCCATAAGATTAGCCCCAATAAGTGGAGAAAATCCAACAGCTATTCATGATCTAACAAAACACAACTCAGGCTGGGGGCATAGCTCAACTGGTAAAGCACTTGCCTAACAAGCACAAAGACCTGAGTTCAAACCCCAGAACTGGAAAAAAAAAATCCTGTCAGCAAATTTGGACTAAAGGGCATTTCTGTAAGGTTTAAGTTATCATCACACCTGACACTGAAAGACTGAATGCTTTCTCTAAGATTAAGAGCCATACAAGGAAGTCTGCTTTTACCACTTCTAATTCAAATTTTTACTGGGGTTGCTAGCCAATGCACCTATACAAAGTAAAATTTTAAAAGAAACAGTAAGTCACAAAGGAAAAGATTAGGAGAAATGTGGGATTCATTTTGGGGAAAAAAACAAAATGTTAAGAAAAGGAAATAATGAGAAAATGAAGAAATGAAATCACACCAGAGAATTAATTCTCACAATTAGGTCCAAATAATGTATGTGAAGAGATTAGCTTCCTACTTAAAAACTGTTTATCTAAATAAATATTTTGGTGATAAGATACGAGTGAGGAAATAAAGGAAAATTCTAAAGAATTTACTGAGATGAATATTTTAAATGCCTTTCCTAATTCCAAGAAAGTATTCTTCGGGTAACATTAACATAGTCCCTCAAGCAGATAGATACACTACAAACATCTAAAGTCTGAAACAAAGTTTCACCATTTCTTCTGTAAACTCCATGTTATCTCATCAATGTTAAAACAAAAAAAGCTTCAGAAGTAGAAAATTATGAAAAAGAACCTCAGAATTGGAATGCACCTCTTTCAAAAGGAAAGGACATTGGCCAAGCCAGACCAGATCCACAAGGTTTTTAAAAGTATAGTAGCAATGAAAAAGATATGTCAAAAATAACATTCATCAGTTATATGGCTTTAAGAATCAACTCCAATCACTCTGGGTCTGGGTTTTCTGTTCCTATAAAATAAAGGAGTGAGATCAATTCTTCTCTAAGTTGTCTTCACATCTTGGAAAGTCCACGACCCCAATGATTCTATACAAAAGCATAAGCTAACAGACAGGAAATAATGAGACAGATATCTTTTAAATTCCACAAAAAATTAAAACAACTTTTATCTAAAATGAAGACAGCAGAGGTTTTTGTTCTTTTGTTAATTTCAGTGTTAATTGCAGTTACCTTCTTTATTTTATTTGCAATAAGCTTAACTATAAGAAAACTATCAGGTTTTTGCTTCTGTACCTTGTTTGAGCGTAGTGACACCCGACCTCCACAGCGAGCGCAGAACTTAGTTTGGCAATATGAACAGTTATGGCCACATCCATCAGCAAACTTTGTTTTGTGGCAGATGCCACAAGTTGGGGCGTCGCCTTTCTGTTCTTGCTGTTGCTGTGACTCTTCTCCCATCTTCTTCACTTGCTCCTTGTACATTTCAAATTGTTGATGCAGTTTTCTGCAGAGAAAACAGATTTTTAAAAATTGGTTTCCTGGTGATGAAAAAAAATTACCACAATCTAAAGACACAATTTTATAACCAAAAGAAAAAATGCATATAATGAGAATAAAAGGATAAAAATTTAATTTCATGATTACAGAATAGCATCCTGCATGGCACATTACATGGTAAAAATGTTACAGTTAGTTCTACCTTCTGATGTGTGTATCAATTTAAGAACCTAAGAACAAATGAATGCAATATATATTAAGAATATCTCTTTGAAAAGGAAGTCTAAAATTTCTACCTACCATTTATAATATATTTTCAATCATATGTTCTAAAATACTTATTATTTTTCAACATTTTAGCTTCAAAAATATATACAAGAAGCTAATGTGACTTACACAGTGGAGCTAAAATCTACTAGCTTCAAATCAATGAGATGCAGTCTCAGTTGGAATGATGAAAAGAATTCAGAGAGACAAACACTAGAAACGTTTCACTAATTGTTTAAATCTGCACAGCAGTCTGAACATAATTTGTTAGTATAAACTAACACTGTGAAGTATTAATAGTCTTCTGGGGAGGTGCTGTGCAAATAAATGTAAAGCCAGATTTCACTTTAAAATTAAAATAAAAGTTTAAGTCTCTCCAAGGAAAAATGGGACACACTGTTGCATTTTTGACAAGAACATGAGAAAAGGAGGTAGCCACCGTAATGTCAGGTAAAAGGAAATCCGTTAAACTTCTAACAAACTGCTAAATAATATGAAAGGGCAAACATATCAGTTTAGAAGAGCTAAGGACCCAGACTCAAAGGAAGTTCACACTCATAGCATGTTTCCTTAGAGTCCACTGGGTACTCAAAACGAAGACTGGAAGTAACGCATGAAAACAAAGTCCCCCCCGCCCCCCAGAAAGACTCCTTTTAACAGGAGTGCACATTTGCAGGCATAAGAAATGACTTGTGGCTGCTGAAGTACAGGCACAATTCCTCAAACTTTCTCTCCTAAAAGAGCAAATGAGTTAAACCACAGGAGAGAAAGAAAATTCTATCATCCCCAGAATAGAGGAAAAAAGCCATTGCAGTCAAGAAAAAGATTTAAGAAGAAAATCTATGTCCATTGGGCTAGAAACCATCTTGGGTCCAGGATCCTACCTAAATACAAATCAGAGGTTTTTTATCACTAGGATTTGGGTGGAAGCTCCTGCCCCAAACAAACTGGACATACAAGTCAGATTGGCTTCCCTGGTAAGGAGAGACTGTAACTCTGAGCAAGACCCATTCCCAAGGCATAGTCTGTCAAAAATAGAGAGTAGAAAAACATAACAGACAACACCCTTTTCCCTACCACAAGACAAGTGCCATGTAATAAGCACCAGTAGTCTACTACAGGGGATGATTGACACCATGGGGAGAGACACCCTATCCTCTGTGGTACAGGTTTGTGGGAATGGCTGAAAAGGCAACAAAAGCACTGAAACAACTTCTGGTAATTCATCATCTATTCTAAGCACAAGGCAAAAACAGCCCATTGCTTTTGAAGCATTTTACAATACGGTGTTCTACAGATAATGATGGTAACAACAAAATTCAAACATATCTGAATTCCTGACTTAATTGATGATTCAATCCCCAATATCACTAGCCTGATGGAAAGGGCACGTCTACTCCAAAGCATAAATACAACTCAAAACCATACGACAAAGAAGAGGAAAACAAGGACTAAATAACTCATTGTCAAGAGACAGAATAATCCATACAATTAGATTCAGAGATGACTTGGATATTAGGACTATCACACAGAAACTTTTAAATGATTAAAATTATTAAAGAAAAGATGATCAATATTGAACAAGTAGAGAACAGAAATGCAAATTGTAAAAAAATGGAATTTCTAAAATAAAAAAATGAAGAATTCCTTTGATTGGCTCATGATGACACTCAGAACAGCCAATGAAAAATTAATAAACTTGAAAAGTAATCAATAAAAATTATTAAAACCAAAACAGAAAGGACAATAAAAAAGAGTGGGGGAAAAACAATAAAAATACAAGAGTTAGCCTGATGTATAAAAATAGAGTCCAGGAGAAGAAAAGACAAAATGGAATACAGGAAATATTTCAAGAGATAATGACAAAGAATTGTCCAAAAGTAGGTCTGGAGGGATGGCTCAAGTGGTAGAATGCCTGCCTAGCAGATGTGAGGCCCTGAGTTCAAACCCTAGTACCACCAAAAAAAAAAAAAAGTTCCAACAGTAATGAAAGATACCAAATCAGACAATAAGCACCTCAGAGAATCCCTATAGAACAAATACCAAGCACACACACATACCTCTAGACACTTCATAACTAAATTGATAAAAACCAAAGATAAAAAGAAAACTACGAAAGCAACCACAGAAAATATGCATTAAGTACAGAAAACCAATAATAAGAAACAGAAGCTTACTCTTCAGAAATCATACAAAATGTAAGACTTCAGAGTGATGCTTGTAAAGCATTGACAGGAAAAAAAAACTCAAAAAAGGATCCCATTCACACTGAAATTATGCTTTGAAAAATGAAAGCAAATGTTGAAAGAATTCATTGGCAGTCCCTTCACTGCAATGAACTTCAAGTAAATTCTTAAAATATATGGAAAATTGGACCTAGACATAGAAATAAATGCTTATGTTGAAAATAATGGGGGGACTTCAAATCATTAATCTAAATGTCTTCCTTCAGAAATTAAAAATAAAAGGGAGAATGTTAAACTCAAAGAAAGCAGAAGAAAGGGATTTTTAAAAATTAAAGCAGAAGTCAATAAAACCATCTGACATCAGGCAGACGCAGACAACAGAACTTTCCACTGCCAGTTCCCCCACAGAAACAATGGAAACAACTGTCCACGTGTGAAAATTCCTTCACAAGAACTAAGGAATCTAGGGGAAAGACACAGTTCCTGAATGTAACACAGAAAAGACATACTGAAAAGAGTAGGAAGGACAGCTTTACATTTCTCGTATCACCCCTCTACCAACTCAAGGCATTACAGCATGAAAAGAGATAACTTCTACTGGGCGGGGGGGGGGGAGGGAAGGAGAGAGAAGTGAGCACCAGACTTCTCCTCAGACCCTAACACCTGGCACACCCCAGCAAAGCACAGCTCTGGATGGGGCTGCATGGCCCCAGCCTCCATGCCAGTACCCACAGCGTGAGCCTCCAAATCTACCAAGGCACCAGATTTCATAGCTCCTGCTTCAGGACTGTCCAACAGCCAATCTCTAGACCTGCTTGACTGCTAATCTGACCCTAGAAGCCCCAAGCTTTGTACGCTGCAACACCAGCCCAGTTCCCAAAGACTAAGGCTCCAGGACAATGCCCAAACCCCCCTACTCCATGCTGGTCCCCATGCACCAGACTCCAAGCTAGTACTCAAAGAGTGAGCCTCCAGGTCCACTCTAGCTCTAGATCAAATTAGATAGTCTCAGACTCCATACCTGTCCGGCAGACTTGGTCTCTGGGCCCATCCCAGGCCCAGGCCCAGGCCCAGGCCCAGCCTAGTAGTCCCAGGCTCCAGATTGCCTCTGACACCAGGCTGGCCTCCAAGATACCAGGCTTCAGGCCTATCCTAGCATCAACCCAGTCATTGCGTCCCCAATCATCAAATTAACAACCCTTAGATCCAGGCTCCAGATCAACATCTTTGAATATAGTCTCCATACCTGCCAGCACCAGACTAGCTCCTGAAGCCACAGGCTCTTGGCTTGCTGAGTGAACTAGGTCTCCAGGCTACTCCAGTACCAGGCTGACTTAATCAGCCAACTCTGTACTGGCCCCAGATCAAACCTACTGGGCCATGGCTTCAGACTAACCCAACACAAGGCTAGTCCCCACAGACCAAGGCTTTTAGAACCAAGACTAACCTAGTAGTCAAGGGCTCCATACTTTCTACCAACAGGGCTGACCCACAAAGGCCTAGACTACAGGCAGCTTGCTATAGATTCAGAGTCCATCTCCATCCACTACTTGCAAACCTCTATGGCCCAAGGCTCCAGTTCCATTCCAGATTTTGGACCAGTACAGAACCTGGTCAGCCCCACAGTCCCAGATTTCTGCCCACCACAGTGCCAAGTTAACAACCATGGCCTCAGGCACTAAACCAGCACACTTAAGAACAAATTTCAGGATTTACCAGTACCATGCCAGTCTCTGAGGCCCATTCTCCCAGGACAGACTTTGCCAGTCCAGACTTCAGTAGACCTGGGATATAGGCCAATCACATGAGACCCTGGTGCCAGGTCTACCTACATGAACAAAAGGCTCCAAGTCAACCATTTTCCTGGCAGACTTAGATCACAGGCCCACCCCAGCAGGTAGCGCTTATGAACTCAGGTCCAGGCTTGTCTCAGTAAACACAGGCACCAGGCCCATCTTGGTGGCTCCGAATGACACAGACTGAAGGCTTGCCTCAATGCCAGGTAAGTAATATAGACTCAAGCTTCAGGCAAGCACCCACAGACACAGGCTTTAAGGCCAATCCTATGGACCAATCAACAGGTCCACCACTACTGGAGACCAGGCATGAACTCTGGACTTGGATATAATAAAGTTTATACAGCCTCTCCTACCATATTTTTCCCAGTATCTAGTGTCTTGATCTTTGTTCTCACATCACCTTGAAGAATACAACCTGCTATGTCCACATACCAGCCCCCTGATGCAAAACTAGATAAAGTGCCAGAACTCTTAGGAGATTCCCTGATGCCAGATTAATCAATACCTTAGATAAGGTGTCCTGCGTGCCTTGATGATTCCAGAACTGATGTGTTGTAATTAAGCTTCATTAGCCTTAGGAAAAGTAGCCCACCAATTCTCATTCCTTTCACCTTGCATCAAGAATTGTTAAACCTTGATTTTTACCTGAGTCTTTTCCTTGTGCTGACCTGTTAAAATAAACACTCTGGCTCAGGTAGGCCCTCACGTTTCTCATCAAGAATGTGCAGCCCTCCCATCCCCAGCTCTTCTGTTTT